TGAAGTCTGTGCTAAGTATTCGTGAATAAATATGTGTATTTATTTTTGCCATTTCAAACATTTATAACTATTTTGTCTAAAGTTCTATCTATAAAGAGAAAATCATTGCATGCCAAACCTATACCTTATCTCGGAATACACTGGTTCCTAGAAGCATGGTATTACAAAACAGGTACTTCTGAACTGATCAATATACAGATAAACTAAGCCCTTTTATTTCAATTTCATATTTTTATGACCCCTCCCCCCCCGCCCCCCACGAGAAAAAATGTCGAGCAGGCAGATTAATTTAGACCTGTCCGTCCATCCACCCGTACGTCCGTCTGTTTGTCCTTCCGTATATAGATACACGATATGTCTGGCTATCTCATCCTACAGTTTTTGAACTAACAGCTTTAATATTTTGTAACATGAATGGTTATATTTCTTTTGATCTTCTAGTGAGTTAAATTCAGTCATTTTTAGAGGAGTGCGTTAACTGAATGATTTTTTAGTTTGCACTCTCCAATCCCGCCTTTGATGGCTTCTCGTTTGAATAGTAAAGAATGAGAGGAGCTTAAACCAGTGCATTAACTTCCATCTCAAAAGTAATTAATGCACAGTCTGGCTCCGCCTCCTTAGGGTAGTAATTAATAAAAGACTAAAACAAAATGAAAAAGAAATGACTATAAAATTTCCTATGTACAGTTATTATGCTTGGATACCTGTTTTATCGTGTCGAAATTAAAAGTAGTCTAAGAAATATACGGCACTTGATATTTATTAATTTTCTTAATTTTTAAAGGTATATTTCCGTGTATTGATTATGCTTCAAATATTTGTCCCTGGACCTTTTACGCATTCAATACGGAACCATTTCAATCAATCAATCTTTTCCCAGTTCTTGGAAATGAAAGAAGATTATTAATTACTTTCATAATTGGTATTAGGAAATGTTTCCTTTTTATCACAAGGTCAATTGAAACAACACGCCTTTTTTCGGAGGCGAGGGCAAATAATTGAATCGAAAAAAATTTTGCATTAATGTTACAAATCATATATAGCCACGCCTTACTCATTAACATATTTATTCCACTCAAAGCTACGCTTTTCGTGAATTAAATAAGTTAATTTGTAAAAGGCGTGCTATATATATAACTTGTAGCATGTTTCTACACATAGTAGAGGTGTGCATGTCCACAGGATTTTAATTTTTTTTCAAATATTCTTAAAATGCCAGGTATTTGGGCTTAGTCATTTTTTTGGTACTAGCTGCATACAGAGATTGTGTTTTTTTTTTCGGCTCTCTCCTACAGTTTTTGAGCTACATCTTTATTATCTAATAGGTTTATTGTACACATAATGGAAGAGTGTATGTCCACAGGATTTAATTTTTTTCAAATACTCTCAAAATACCAGGTATTTGGACTTGAAACATGAAAGTTGAAACCTTTTGGCTGGACATTCAGTCCTGCAAATGTAGATATTCAGAAAAAAAATAAAAGATAGATCATCATACATAGTATTAAATTTATAATGTCTTATGATCAGGCGGGAGCATCATTTGTGTTTTACAGACAGCGCAACAATTTCCTGTTGTACTTCAACATCACTGTTTTTGAAATCTAAAGTATGTGGAACTATACTCATGCATATGACAGAGCAAAGGGGGGCATCGTTCATATCCATTTGTTTTTTTGTTTTGTTTTTATTATTCAATGGAAAATTTCAACAAAGTTTCAACTGGCCCGAATAAGTGGTTCTATATCTGTAAAAGCAAAGACTTGTCATCAAAATGTGTCAGCGTAAGGCTTTATGATACCCTGTGAAGAAGCACTCATATGTTCTGCTCCGAACGTTTGGTTAGTATACAGCACACTTTAATTGTTTTCTTGTGCTAATATGCATGATATATTTCTGATTGCATTTTAAACACAATTCAGTCATCATAATAAATATGGGCAACTGGTTCAAATATATGCACTTTCATAATAGCAAGAAATAATGTTAAATTATATCGTTTTTTCTATAATTTAGTATTAATATTATAGTCCTTTAAGAAGTTGCAGTGTTGACACTTTTGAATTTCTTAACTGGTTTTCGATGTCTTTAATCGGTTAATCTATATTTTCTAAAGAAACCACTTGACGGCTTTGTATAAATCAGGACTTTGCATGGTTGTGGTTCAAAGTGTGTCCTGTTATTGTGTCCATTTTCACTAATATTAATTAGCCGCAACATTAACGTTTTAATGCAGTATGTATTCGTTTCTAATCAAATTCAAATATTTGGGGGTTTCATAAAATATTTTTACCAAGCACATATGTATATGTTTCCATATAAACATTAGCGTCACATTTTGGATAAAATAAGGAGATGTGGTATGATTGTAAGTGATACTATTCATCGGCAATCAATGTGTTAATTTCAGGAAATCTCTCGTAGAAATAATGAATTTTCAGAGAAAGTTGAAAATGTTCATGAAGTTCGCCTTCTTCGGCTAAATCTTCGTCAGTGTTTTTTTACGTCTTGAATCCTGACTTCGACGAGAACTTTGAACTTTGCGTTCAGTATTACTTTATTTAAAATATTGCTTTTAGTGTTAAAAAGTTCACAGTGTAGGATAATTAATTTGACAAACAATGGCATTGCACAAGCAACGCGTATTTGTTATAAATACTTAAACCGTATTAATCAGATACTGAATTGTCAATAGTATGTTTCACCGCTATGTGTTTTTTTAATGTAATCATCATGTAAATGGTACTGCTAATGCTATATTCATAAATTCGACTATTATTTATGAATATGAGTGTCACTATAAAGCTTCATTTATTTTACCTAACTTGTTAATGTAAAGACTGTTCATTTCTTACTGTTTATTATTTGACAATCTGATTTGCATTTATGCATTTCTGTGGAATAATCTGACCAATTTCTTGATAGCTGTCTTTGATTTAATTCTGTTTTTTATGTTGCGGTTAACAACATATGAGTTAATATGCTCGATATTAACTTTATAAAAATACAATAATGATGTCAAAATCATACTTCAGGTAACAAAAAAAAAACATTTAACCGTTGCTAAGCACTATCTCGATTGCTAAATTGTTGATTAGCATGATGTAAAATTGAATTGCTTTCATTTCTTACTGCTCGTTATTCTTATAAACCAATCTGATCTGCTTTTAGTCTAATTTGTACAATAAAAAAACAACTGTATTTTTGTAGTTAAATTTAATTTTATCTTTTTTTGCTGTTGCTAAGCAACTTTTGGGTTGCTATGCTCAATATGAACTTCTTAATAAAGAATAATGATGACTTAGACATCATATATGAATGAAAATCATTTATGGCAGCTAAATCTTCAAACATTGCTATATTTATACCTCATATGGCAGAAATTACAAATTTTTGAACCGTTGCTAGGCAATATTTTTGTTGCTAGGTTGTTGCATTTATTAAACTAAAATTGAAGTGCCTATTCATTTGCAACTTCAATTTTTTGTTAAACAAATAATACTATTTTGAATTATGCTAATTTGTAATGAGAAAGCAATGCATAAGTGATAATTTGGCTATTTAATAAAACCGTTGCTAGGCAACCTTCCTTTCACCGGAACACAAAAATAAATTATTGTTTTGTCTAGTTTCTATACAAAGGCTATCAATGATCTATGTAAACTTATTCGGGAAGGGAGCCAAACGCGCCCCTTATCATACCTTGTCCTTTAAAGGCTAACGATTTGTACAACGACACTGATAAAGATAAAAAATACTACTAATAAGATGACATAAAATTGAATTGACAAATATTTTGGCACAAACAAATGGTATATCTAATATAGTAAATATGTGTCTATACGAATAATAAAATAACTATCTCGAACAACAACTGTATCAGTATTATTTGAATATTGTTGCACTAATCATTTAAATGTATTATGTTTTCCTGTATTCCGTATCATCAATTGACGATTCGATATATATGGTCATGCTTTTATGATGTTCAACACTTTATTGTAGCTATATATATCATATGAAATTATAGGTGTGGAATGATAGCCGATTAACCTGGCCAAAGTCATCTTATGGAAATAATGAATATATATATAAAACGGAGGACTTAGTTTGGCACCCTGAATTGATTGTACAGAATTCGTAAGTAATTAAAGCAGTCTTCTTCATTTCAATAATTTATAATACATGACAACGCGAGGCTTGCTAGGTTTGTTAGAAATAAGTTCATATAAATGTTTGTATGGATAAAAAAGTTAACATTGACAATAATTAACAGCGTATAAAGAATGAAAACATTTTCTACATGTGATTCGTCCGGGGCGTTTTTCTAGATTCACCTTCATCAGGAACACTTAAAGTCATTTAATTTATGATCTAGAAGAACCAAAACAGTTGTATAAAAACATGATCTAAAACATACCGAATTACTGACTACTGAGCTAATGATACCCTCGGGGACTGAAAGTCCACCAGTCGCAGTATCGACCAAGGATTGTAAAAGAAAAATAACACTTTATAAATTGTATGCGTCCGAAGCACGTTTTTGAATTGACTTTCATCAGGAACGCTCAAAGCCGAATAGTTTTAAACGGAGGATGAATAACAAGTAAAATAACACAAATACCGAACTCCAAGGAAAATTCAAATCGGAAAGTCCCTTATCAAATGATAAAATCAAAAGCTCAAACACGTCAAACGAATGCAAAACAACTGCCATATTCCTGACTTGGTATAGGCGTTTCCCTAAGTAGAAAATGTTGGATTAAACCTTCGTCTTGAATTTATTCAAACAATGTAAGATCGATTAATTTTAGTTTTTATCTCATTGGGATTCGAAACCCTGCATATGAAACATCATGACAACATCGCCGGAATTGTGTCCAGCACCATACGCAAATTATATATGAATCAGTTACCACACAAAAGATTGATTGTTCGAATATTTGTTGCATTACGTTACTATTACATGATATGACCACGTATAAAGTTTAAAAGTCTACGTCATGTGACATGGATGTCACATTTTTCCCATATGACAGTCAAACCTGTGACATAGAATTGGCTAGCTGGGGCTTCCCTGCAGACGCTGTCAACCTAACATTCTTCAAAATGAATGTAAATTTGGAAGCCTACAGAACAGATTAAGAATGGAATCTTGTTTCGACCTCTCAGCATCCAAATGAGCTAATTGAAGACGACCTGGTGTTTTCAGAACTATCGTTCCGAATTGTTTTAAAAAGGCTTCCTGGTCATTACATTATGAGTGTCATATATCCGACCATTCTTACTGCCGTATTGACATTCGTGACATTTTTTCTGCCGCTTGAGTCCGGACACAAGATCGGATACATTCTGACAGTGTTACTTGCCTTGGCGGTTTTGTTGACGTTATTTTCAGACAGTATGCCTACAACATCAAAACATACGTCAGTTCTAGGTAAAGTTACATGTAAAGATATGCATGCACAATAATTGTTATGTCTACATTTTTAACCAGATTCCGTTGTTACAGTTATGTCATTCTAATAATGTATCGAACATAGTGACAAGGTACGGAGATGTAAGATACATTTTTGGAATTTGGTCCATTATGGTGGTAACTCAGTTGTATATTATTATACTTTTCACTATGGTTTGGACACGTGTTTGATTATAATTATTTCAAGGTTCTATTAATGTTCTTCAGACTGTTGAGTATACTGAATTATCCCAAAAGCTTCCGAATAGTACTTAATGGACTGGAAGCAAATTATCTGATCAGTACTGAAATGACCGCAATGAATACGTCTGAAAATTGTCTGAAAAAATGAACATGACTGAATAATTTATTGTTCAGACTTTTCGGATTATTTTAAGGTCACAATTACCGATTGAGAATTAAATCATATTATATGTAATCTCATCTCTTACGATTCTAAACCTGCAGTTAAAGTTTTTATCAACAACGATTAGTAAAACTGTTATATTTTTTTCGAATAAAAACTATTGGTTTTCATTTTTGTGATTTCAGTGGTATTTCTAACAGTAACATTAGGAATGGCCTGTCTTGTGATTATCTTCACGATATTTATCATAAGACTCTTTCATCAACCAGAACACGACAAGGCTCCAAAATGGATGCATTTCTTGGCAAGGAAATTTTTGAAGCTAAAATGCAGATCCGAAAGAATAAATCATCTTGATCATCTTGAGCAAAGTCAGATTACTGAAAATGACCCCCCAAAAGATGGAAGAGACTGCTTGGAGAGTAGAAAGCCATTTACACCATACACCAACAAGGAGTTAGCAGAATTTTTTGATTATTTTCTGTTAGGAGTTTTTACAGTTTTATATATTTTGGTTCTTATATGTTTCCCAATAGTTCTGAGCTCTTAAACATGATGTAAAAAGGACATTAAATGTAAAGAAAATGTATTTTTCAAATATATTATTATACAATTAGTTTAGTAACAGAAGTTCCTATTTTTTTGACATTCATAATGCAAGTTGAGTTTTGTCACTTACTGTATCACATACCATTGCACAAATCAGTTTAACTTCTGTTTTTCCTGCAGTTAGTGTAACTTGTTTGCACAAACGCTTTTGTAGTAATTCAAGGCATGCAATGGCTTCATTGCGCTTTATCGCTTTACTTATTTCAGTTATGCCTATTTGGACAATTGTTGCAGGCAACAACTATCCGACATGTCCAATGCATACATTATTTTAATGCAGCATGTTTTGATATTGTGCTTAAGCAATACACATGTGACCGATGTTTTCACTACGTCAGTTTTAAACAGTATCATTTATGTATAGCAAAACGCAACACATGAATTGTCGGTTTTTCAATTTTAGAATTGCGATGTTTTTGAAAACATTTTTGATAAAGTTTTTGATATTTTTTTTTCAACACATGCATGACTAACATCATATTGTTGTAACACGTGTAGCCCTGCACCACGCTGTATGTGTCTGTCCCAAGTTTTGAGCCTGTAACTCAGTGTTTGTCGATGATTAATGTATGTCAAACTCGATTTTCTTACTTATTTATTTTTATAAATAAGAACATTTGATTTCGCATCTTTGATTTTTAATAGCTGACTATAAAGGATTGGTTTTGCTCATTATTGAATAAAATTGGAAAATCTATTATTGCTAACATAACCACAATGCAAACTATAGTGGTCAAAGTCTCAATGTGAATCGTATCACATCTCCTGCAATTATATTACCTAAAACATAAATATATATATTATGATACAAAACACCAAGCCTTCTTTATATTAGAATCGATACATTAGAAAGCATGTAGATATTTCCATTCAATAGATAGTACGTATTGACTGCAGACGTATTATTGTGTACCATGTTAACACTAAAATACAGCTTGCAAATCCATCCAAATGACATGTTGGTATTTTATTGTGTGAACTTTTATTGTTTATTTGTTTGCCGCCGCCATCCAAACGCTCTTCGTTTGTTGTCAGTGCCTTAGGGATATATATATGTGTTATTATCTGTGTTGTAATTGCTATTACGTAGATTGAATTGATACTTTTGATTTTTAATTTTTAATGTAGATTTTAAGTTTATTAGGTTTGCTACATTTGATTGCAAATTATTTGATTGAGATTTATCCAGTACGTTTCTAACATGTCTAATATCCCATTCGAACTAAACTGACATATGATTTGAATGTTCTTATATACCATCCTTACATATAGGTTAATTGTTATTTTCCGACACCATTCGCATTTAAACTTAACTTTTTTTCTTTTTTTACACCATGCTGTGGAGTGTTTTATCTTCCCTGGTTGACTCCATGATAACGTATGATTTAACTGCCCTTTTGCCACTAAAATAACGTAAGGATTAAATCCATGTTTGTTACTATTCTGACTTATGACTCATCAAATCTTTCTCGCCATTTTGACGCATGGCTAATAACCATTTTGGTACCATGCTTACGTTCGGTTTACCTTCATGTTTCGATCTGTTCCAAGATAATGAAACAGTTGGAATTAAACCTGAATCTTTGTCCTATTGTCAACCTCAAATTTTACAGCAGTAACAAACCATTTACCCTGTTATGCATTTAAATCGAATTCCTATTTTACATCCATGACTTGGTATAGGGATTTTGTACAAAAAAGAGTTAGAATAGGATTAGGAGACTTATATTTGCTTATATATAAATAGATATTAGATACACGTCAGTGCAACACTACAACTTATAAAGACACGGTAAAGTTCTGTAAGCATAATACAGTTAGTCGCCAGCATTATGTATGTGCATGTCCAAAGTCAGGAGCCTCAAGTTCAGTGGTTGTTGTTAGTTGCTGTATATCATATTTGTTCATTATTTTGTACATAAAGCAGGCGGTTAGTTTTCTCGTTTGTATTGTTTTACATTTGTCATTTCTAGGCCTTTTATTGTTGTCTATGTGTTATGGGTTTTACTCATTGTAAAAGGCCGTATGGTAACCTATAGTTTATCTCTGTGTAAGTTGGTCTCTTGTGGAGCGTTGTCTCATTGGCCCTCATATCACATCTTCTTATATCTATTGATCATGTTATAGTTTATTATTTCAATTTCGACAATGCTGCTCGCCGTCGCCCGTCATTGCCATTGAGCAGTGGAACCATGAGTGAAATTAATTTGATTATTACTGCTAATGTGCTATGTATTCCAATTATTTGTTTAAAACAATGACATAACATTGAGTTTCTTGTACACACAGAACCTATTTATGTTATTGATATTAACACTTAATCATTACTACAAAAAATAAAAGAATTATAGCTGCTTCATTTTTATCACTCCTTGTTTTTACCCGTGTTATTAAACTTAAGTTGAATCAATAATTTGTTTTCTCTTATGGTTGTGGCCTGTTATCTATTTATTGCATGGAGAGATATTTCTCGTATTACACTTCATGGAGTGCGATACGACAAAGTGATGAGAAAACTGTTGGCTTAGACAGCATTATGAGACGATACTACAACATTTTTATTAATTTCGTTAGATCATTGGTGTTTCTCAAAGGTTACGACAATGTACACTTCGTCCATGACAGTGAACATATGCGATTCCTATAATAATATCAGGCGCGTTGCTACGTTTACGTCAAAACGCCCGGGCGTGCACATGATTTTTGGAGGAAAAATATTGTGATCCAGATCAATTTAGGAACTGTTTAAAGCACACTGCAATTGTAATGTATTCTTTGATGACTCGTAACTGAAGTGACGAAATTTACTTTTTATTCAAATTTGTTCATTTTCTGTCAAACTGTGAATCTACTGTGAATATTCTACTCAGATTACTATTGTTTAAAGCAATTTAGTATCTGCTGGGATAAAACATCTGTGGCTTGAATTTTTATGTTATATGAAAATTAATTATTTCATGCGTCCATTAACGAAATTTTTCCGTAAAAAGGTGTGAAAATTATATGAAGTTAAGCTAATTAATAAAACTTGCTTTTTTAACTATTTTTATAAGTTTTGATTTTTTTGTCGATTGATTGATTTACTCAACATCTCCTTTTAAACATATTCTAGAGTAACTGGTTTGGACATTTTCCTCTAAAATAAAGGACCATCATATTCCATATCAACTAGTGTTGTCAACGGTTAATCGGTTATCCGGACCTTTTTTCAATTTTAATAGATTTGATATAAATGGGTATTGTTGAATTTTAAAACCATCGTCGTGCTACTTAATGTACTAGTAACAGATCAATTGTCCAGTTTATTGATTACTATTGTTAACCTCGAAAACATTCCAATTAGTCAAAAATAATTAGCACAAAGAAAACTTGTCTAATCAGCTCGGAGCAAGATCTTAAGTAAACATAATTAGCTTACATGCATTTTTTATCAGTTAAAAGCTGATTTAATATTACGATTAACTTCAAAATTTCACTTCGATTTATTATTGTCCTCGGCGTTCTCATACTTTAAAGTCAATGCCGATTAAAGAATGGCGAAATACAAGTTATAAAATTTGAATTAATGTATACTGGGTGGTACTAGTAACACGCTTACTCTTCTGAAATTGAAACACTTCACAGAATTTTCAGAGACACCAGAACAAATGAAACAATCCTCGGTTTCAGATCTAGATTTTGTCACCTCGCCAAGATCGAGAGGATTTTAATTTTCTCAATCTCAAGATGATACAAACGCCATAGTAGTCATATACTTATTGGATTTATAAAACATAAACTTATCCGGGAATCCACAAAGCCAAGTCGTAAAATACCCATAAGTAAACTTCAGTTCATCGTATCATAAATCCGTGCATTTGTATAGTACTGAAGATAAGGCCTCTACGCATCTCCTAAACTACCGGTTAACCTGTTAATCGGTCGAAAGATTATCCGAGTAACCCGTTTGGCAAAACTGTTCAATTTGACAACACCAATATCAACACAATGAAATCAACATGAAAAAAACCCAAATCAAACTTTAAAAGAGAGGCGAAAGATACCAAAGGGATATTCAAACTCATCAGTCGAAAACAAACTGACAATGCCATTTCAAAAGACGAAAAACGACGAAAAGACAAACACCATTACATAAAAGACAACATAGAAAACTAAAAACTTGACTATACCAACACTACTTAAAACCTGGGGTGATTTCAGGGGTCCGGAATGGTAAGCATATCCTGATTCACATGCAGCTCTCATTGTGTTGCTCATGTAAGTAAAAACACGGTGATAAGTCTAAATCGGTAGGTCAAATTCGAGGAAAAGAGGACGCAATTCTGGTGTCATGGAACACGTCTGTCGTCATCAGTGAAACAGTCAACCAACTCATGATAGCGATCTTTAAATTTTCGAAGGTATTCTTTCAACTTCCCAACTTCTTTGTTAGTAGCAACCTCATTCAAGGAAATCATGATGCAAGTTCTGAAATATCGTATCAACTGGGAGATATATACTCCATATGTAGGTTCTACTTGAATGTTGCTACATAGAAATGGAAATTTCAAAACAGTAAAGCTGAAATTATCTCTTATGTAGTAAAGTTTTGTTCCCAACGGACCAAGTATGTTGCTATTGGTGAATTTTGAACTTTTTCACGATAACGCGTGAGCTAATGTGGGTTTCGCCCCTACCATGAGGTCCTCTACCCAGGGTTCGCTGGGGGCGGCCATCAGACCACTCGCCAAGGTTCGTGCGTGAACTTAAAAATAGCCTTGCTACTTCACTGAATACACGAAAAAAACACACTTTTCACCTGACAATCTTCTTTTTGTCATATTTCTTCACATTCTGAAGCGTACACAAAGTTTCGAAATGTCTAATGGTTAAGTTTGACTCTGGAACAGGACATATAACGTCATACCTGGTATGCGCAAAAGACCAGATCAAGGATTCACTGGTTTTTTAATTTAACACAATGAG